AGTAGTAGTAGTAGTAGTAGTAGTAGTAGTAGTAGTAGTAGTAGTAGGAGTAGTAGTAGCAGTAGTACTACTAGTAGTAGTAGTAGTAGTAGTAGTAGTAGGAGTAGTAGTAGTAGTAGAGATAAAGCACATTAAGGAGGCCTCCCAACAGCAGCTTGTAGTTTGCTGGACTACCAGGAACAATACACCAAGTTGCCTAGGGCCTAGGATTGAGGTAACCGAGGTGTATACTTTTCTCAGTGGCAGTATCATCAAGGTAGAACAGCATCTTTAGAATCGCTTTAACCAGAATCGCAGAACAAACAAGTATCTGGTGGACCTGCCTCCTAAAGAGACCTGACCTTTTTAAACACTGGAGTCTTCAACCCCCACTCCGCTTCGCACTCCCCCGCTTCGCGCTCCCCCGCTCCAGAGCCGCCGTGATGTCCACACCCAGGATGGCCAACGCCCTGGTGGCCTCTGGCCTCATCAGCGACTCGCCGGTAGACGTCCAGGGCGGAAGAAGCTACTAGTAGCAAGGCACCTTACTACTAGTAACAAGAAGCTACTAGTAGCTCCTGGCATTACTACTAGTAGCTAGAAGCTATTATATAAATCAATTGGGGAAGAGGAAGACAGGATGATGACGCCGTTCGGATGGATGCTGTCTGGTCTTGTCCCGGAAAACCGGGAGAGTCGGGATTCCGGCCAACCTAGAGCAAATTGGATGCCCGCACACATCGACAATATCATCTTGACAAAAACTGCATTTATTTCCTATCGGTAGAACCAGCAAACATGGCCAGGTGACAAGCAGTAATGCGCAAGGTGGGCAATCGCGTAACGATGTTCGAAGGCAGGGAACAAGTGGGTTTGCGTGGTCATTGGTTTAGAGCATCAACAATGACCCAATTTAAGTACACAGGACGCTACTAGTAGCAAAGGGCATCGCTACTAGGAACAAGGACGCTACTAGGGGCTCCTGGCCTTACAACTAGGAACAAGAAGCTACTAGGGGCTCTTGGCATCGCTACTAGGAGCAAGGACACTACTAGAGGCTCCTGGCCTTACTACTAGGAACAAGAAGCTACTAGCGGCTCCTGGCATCGCTACTAGGAGCAAGGACGCTACTAGGGGCT